CCCCCTCTGCCCCGCCCCCCCACCAGCACAGTCCTACCTGTCAGCACGTGCTGCTCCTGCTCCTCACGGTCCAGGGCTCGTGTGGTGACAATCAGCCCCGTCTGTGGGTGGATGGAGAACGGCCCCCCAGAGAGACCCCCATAGGACACCTGCCCATTGGCACCTGCAGGGAGGAGCCTGGTCTGAGGACAGCCCAGCAGCAACCCAGGAGCCTCTCAGCCCTGTACTTCCCTCCTCTCAGGCTTCCCACCCAGGGGTCACACAACCTGTGGGACAGGATGATCAAGGATGATGGCAAGTAAATGGGGCAGAAATGTGTGGTGGAGGGAGGGCCCAGCCCAGCTTGCGGGAGGGAAGATGGGCCAAGGCACCTCCAAGCAATAAAGGCCATTGGTTTGGGGAGCAGAGGGAATCACAGCTTCTCCCAAGATCCAGCCCATCTCTCATCTCCAGGCCAGGAGATGATCCTTCCCTCCATGGCCAGCCAGGCTCTCCACAGCAGGTGTAGGGGAGCAGAGTGCGCCCAATCCTGGGTGCTGCATCTCCAGAAGGGCCCCTGACCAAACTGGGCAGCTCAGCCTTGCCCTGCATCCTCACCCAGGTCCCGGTCTGTGGCCAGCACCTGCAGCACAGGGCTGCCAGCTGGCAGGTTCTCCATGATGAGCGCTTCATACTCGGGTTTCTCAAAAGTGGGAGCCTCATCGTTGACATCCAGCACCAGCACAGCCAGCAGCTGGCTGGCGGAGCGGCGTGGGAAGCCGTGATCCGTGGCCACCACTGTCAGGTTGTGCTGTGCCACCTCCTCCCGGTCCAGGGCCCGCACGATGGAGAGCGCGCCTGTGGACACCGAGAGCGGGGAGCTGGGACCACCCAGCACCACGACCAACTGCCCCAGAACAGGGCCACCACGAGGCTGCAGGAGCTGAGTGAGCCAGGGACAGCAGGGTCCTGCCAATCAGGTGCTGTGCTGGGTGGTTTCCACACAACACGTCTCCCTGCTCCAGGTTCCCCAGCCCACACCCACCTCCAAGGGGCAATAGGCACAAGCTGGAGCATAGGAGATTCAAGAGAAATATGAGGAAAAACTCCTTTACTGTGAGGGTGGCAGAGCCCTGGGACAGGCTGCCCAGGGAGGCTGTGGGGTCACCTTCTCTGGAGACATCCCAACCCCTCTGGCTGTGTTCCTGTGGGATCTGCTGGAGGTGACCCTGCTCTGGCAGGGGCTTGGTCTAGATGATCTACAGAGATCCCTTCCAACCCTGGCCATTCTATGACCCAATGACTCCTGCGCCCCATGCATGCCCCTGCACCCCTGCCCCCTCCTTGGCCCTGCTGAGGTCCCCATTGTCCCCACTGCCCACCCTGTGCCCTGCTGGGCCCTCACCAGTGCTGGGGTTCAGGTGGAAGCGGCCATCACTGTTGCCTGCTCGCAGCGAGTAGCTCACACGCCCGTTCTCTCCCAGATCACTGTCCTGGGCCACCACGTGCAGGGCCACGAAGCCTGTGGGCTGGTCCTCCATGACACTGACGGCCGCGGGAGAGAGGAACTCGGGTGCGTTGTCGTTCTCGTCAGTGACAAAGACGCGGGCGGTGACGGCGGCCGAGCGGCGCTGGCTGATGTTGCGGGCCTGGTCTGTGGCCTCCACCACCAGGAGGAAGGAGGCAGTGGGGCGTAGCGCACCTGGCTGTTGGGACCCACACCGTCCCCATCCAGCGCCTGGAAGGTGAAGATGGAGGCGCCGGCCTGGGTGTTCTCGGGCACCACGATGGTGATGGGGTCTTCAGGGAAGGTGGGCGCCTGGTCGTTGCAGTCCTGCACGTGGATGTGCACCAGCCCCAGCCGGCTGGATGGGTACCCATGCTGCGTGTCCTCCGCGCTCACCTGCAGCACGTGCCGGGCCCCTGCTTCGTAGTCCAGCTCTCGGGCAGCGTAAATCTCCCCTGTCACACTGTCAACCACGAAGGTGCCATCCCCACCACCTCCTACCAGCGTGTAGGTCAGCTGTCCTCGTGTGGGGGCGTCCGGGGGGGCCACTGAGCCGATAACAGACCCTGGCCTGACCCCCTCGAGCGGGTGCAGGGTCAGGACGGTGGCATCTGGCCGTGGCAGCACCCGGGAGGATGGCAGCACCTGCGGGAGAGGCTCAGTCAGGGGCACAAGAGATCCCCTTGGGGAGATAGCAGGGAGGGGGACACGGGACCTGCAGAGAGAAGGTGTTGAGAGGCAAGGTCACAGCTCTTCTGGCCTAACAGATGAAGAGAAACCTGAGGAACAGACTGAGAACATGCACGGTTTGACGGGGTGAAAGATGAGCCTCACCTGGGGAGCCAGGGCGGGCGAGGACAGACCGAGCTGCTGACTGGGCAGGGACAGCTCAAGGGGATCTTTCCGAAGTACAGCAATACCTCCTGGGAGGATGCCAAGAGGATGGGCTCTTCCCAGAGGTGCCCAGTGCCAGCACCAGAGGCCACGGGCACAAACTGAAGCACAGGAGGTTCCCTCTGAACACCGGGAAACACTTTTCATTGTGCAGGTGGCCAAGCACTGGCACAGATCGCCCAGAGAGGTGGTAGAGTCTCCATACTTGGAGACAGTCAAAAGCCATCTGGACATGGTCATGGGCAACTGGCTGGGTGGCCTGGCTTGAGCAGGCTGGTTGGACAAGATGATCTCCAGAGGTCCCTGCCCACCTGAACCAGTCCACGAGACTGTGATGGTGTGATTGTGTTAGATGCTGCAGAGGCAAGACACACCAGCAGAAACAGTTCTGTGAAACATAAGCAAGAGTGGGCAAGAAGAGGTAACTCTCACCCAAATGAGAGATAATGGGAAGAAAGACAAATCCTAACACTATTTTCATTAGAGATAGAGAAGTTAGTCTGGGGATGAGATGTGCCTGTGGATGGGAGAGGATCCATGAAAGAATACAGCAAACCTGTCAGCCCAGAGGGGCACCAGAACTACACAGCCACATTACAGGTATCAAACAAGCAGTTCAGGGACAGCCAAGCTGGCCTCTGCACCATGATGGCTACAGAACAACTGTAATGACACCAACAGCTACAGAGATGGCATCAGAAGGAGACGGAATGATCTGGATGAGGGGCAGGCTGTATCATCAGCAAAACTGGGAGGGGTGGTCACACTCCAGAGGCCTGTGCTGCCGTTCAGCATGACCTGGACAGGCTGGAGAGCTGGGCAGAGAAGAACTTCATGAGGTTCAATAAGGGCAAGTGGAGGGTCCTGCACCTGAGGAAGAACCCCAAGCACCAATATAAGTTAGGGGTGGATCTGCTGGAAAGCAGTTTGGAGGAGAAGGATTTGGGAGTCCTGATAGACAGTAAATGATCCATGAGCCAGGAATGTGCTCTTGCTGCCAAGAAGGCCAATGGAATTCTGAGGTGCATAAAGAAGAGTGTGGCCAGTAGGTCCAGGGAGGTCATTCTCCCCCTCTGCTCTGCCCTGGTGAGGCCACAGATGGAGAACTGGGACCAGTTCTGGGCTCCACAGTTCAAGAGAGACAGGGAACTGTTGGAGAGTCCAGGGGAGGCCGATGAAGATGTCAGGGGGGGTTGGAGTATCTCTCTTATGAGGAAAGGCTGAAAGAGCTGGGACTGTTCAGCTTGGAGAGGAGAAGGCTGAGGGAAGACCTTATCAATGTTTACAAGCATCTAAAGGGTGGGTGCAAGGAAGATGGAGACAAGCTCTTTTCAGTAGTTCCCAGTGTCAGAACAAGGGGCAACAGGTACAAGCTGAAACATAGGAAGTTCCATCTAAATATGAAGAAAAACTTCTTTACAGTGAGGGTGACAGAGCCCTGGGACAGGCTGCCCAGGGAGGGTGTGGAGTCTCCATCTCTGGAGACGTTCAAAACCTGCCTGGATACAGTCCTGGGTTAAGTGCTCTAGGTGATCTTACTTCAGTGGGAGAGTTGGACTAGATGATCTCTAGAGGTCCCTTCCAACTCCAGCAATTCTGTGATTCTATGGCACAAGTAGTGTGTGGCAGGGTGGCTACAGGCAGACGTGCCGAGCTGGCACACCCTGCTCTCCACAGGCCCATGATCTGACTGCCTGGTTTCCAGCTGGGCTCCGATGCATGTGGGAGATCCCTTGTTAGACTGGAGACAGGCTCAGAGCAAGTGTGCGTGCCCAGCAGGACTGAGCAACCAACGGGCTCCAGGGCAGGAATGAGCTGGTCTTTGCAGAGACAGCCCTTGGTGCTGATGTTCATTTCTGACAGGTGCAAGGGCAAAGGGAAGCTGAGCATGTTATGAACTTGCTGATATGTGGGAAGGCATTGCCAGCACTGAGGAGCAGCAGAAGAGCAAATGAGAGTCAAAGGGCCTTGGGAACTGCAAGAACAAGGAAGGTGTGAAATGGGCCACTGAGCAAGTGCCTTCCCCAGGGGCATCGGAGTCTGCTGTAGCAGGAGGCCCATTGCTAACAGCACAGCAAGGACTTGGCTGTCTGGGCCACTGGGCTGTGAGCTCTGAAGCTGCACAGATATGAAGAACACCCTGCATATCAGGAACAACGTTTTCATTGGGAAAGAACTAATGTCTCTGTGCAGGGGACCTCTAAGGTCTTCTCTGCGACAGCACAACTGGGACGGGACTGCCTGGCCATGTCAGCAAAAGACAGAGCTGCTATGAATGCTGTTGACCACAAATAAGAGCGTGCCCCGTGGCAGGGGGACCTGTGACACCCTATCCAGGTTCTTCACACAGATTTTGGGGCTGGACCAAGAGATGAGCGTGGGCAGAGGGTGCCCAGGGAGGAAGGTGGAGAGGAAGGCTCCCGCGCAGCGGGGCGGCGGGCAGGGCAGGAGCGCGGTACCTGCAGGCGGAGGCTCGCGGCCGTGCTGCGCGGGGGCACGCCCCGGTCGCTGGCGGTGACGGTGAACAGGTACTCGGCGCGCTCAGCACGGCGCAGCACCGCGGCCGTCCGCAGCTCCCCGGTGGCCACGTGCAGCGTGAAACGCTCTGCCCAGGCTCCTGCAGGGAGAGGAGAATCGCTGCAGGGAGAGGCAGAGGCGGGGCAGGGGCAGGTGGGAGGGAGCGCAGTGGGGCAGGGCAGCACCCGGGAGTCACTTCTGCAGCTCCTACCTATCAGCGAGTAGACGATGGTCCCATTCTCACCCTCGTCGGGGTCCTTGGCCTGCAAGGAGGCGACTAGAAGTCCTGACGGTTTCTCTTCCAGCACCTGCAGCACAGCCCAGGAGCAGCTGAGTGCACGGGGCACTTTCAGTGCACCCCCACAACCCCTCGCCCAGCACACGGTCTGCACCTTCCACACCTGCCCAGGGCACAGAGCCCCTGCAAGACCCACAGGCTGTGCCTGAGGCTGGACAAGATGGAGAAGTCCACAGCAAAGCTGGGGAACTCCACAACCAGCTCAGCAGCACTGAGACTCAGTGAAGGGACACTGGTTCACCCAGGTTACATCCAAAGCCTGGGAAAGTCCGCGGCTCCACAGCAGTCCTGGCTCACTCTGTCCCAGCACGCCTGAACTGCCAAGCTCAGCAGCCAGGCTCCATGACAATGGGCAGTGATTTCCTCAGTTCCCACCAGCCAGCCTGGGGACACTTGGCATGTCTGGGAATGCAGCTGGCAGCTCTTCCTGGGCTTGGACACTCAGGCTCTTGGGGCTTTTCCCTCTCCCCTTTGTTCCTGGCTAGCAGTGCTGACTGCCTCTCTGCAGGCACTTAGGACCAACGTTTTATGCCAGTGCATCACAGTACCATGAAGACACTAAACAGGCAGGTGCTCAGCTAAGCCACCTCCCAAGGCCAGTTCCCAGCTTCCTGACACACCACACACAAGGACCTCATCTGGACAGTCATAGAAATGGGCACATCCCCATGGCTGCACCTCACCACCTGCACCCACCTGTGCCTGCTGGTGGGCTTGCCTCTGCTCCAGCCCAGCCTCTCCCACCTACCCACCCCTCCTGGCAGAGCAGCCCCCTCCACCCCAAGACAAACCACACTCACATCCTGAGGCCACAGACCTCAGACCCCCCCCGCCAGCACGGCTCCCCTGGAGAGCTGGCTGTGCTGGGTGGTCTCTGGTGGTGCCACTTCACTGCAGTGACCACAAAGAGCCCAAGGAAAGAGGCTGCAGCCCCTGGGAGAGGGAAGTGTTAATGCTATTGCACTTCAAGGGGAGACCAGAGGAGCTGGACTTGTTTAGCCAGGCCAAGCAGTGATGTGACTGCACTCTGTAAACACTGGGGAGAGGGGAGGGAAATTCCAAGGAGAGAGAAGAACTATTTAAGCAAAAGCACAATATTGGCACAAGAACAGATGAGAATAAAGTGGTCAGAAATTAGTTTAGGCTGGAAATTAAGAGATGGTTTGTAACTACCAGATCAAGGAATCTGGAACAGCATTTCACAGCAGTGATGGAGGCAGAAGACCTAAATATAGCCTGGCTGTTTATGAAAAGGAGTGTTTGTGTGGACACCTCGGAGTGGGGCTGTGCTCAGGAGGCCCCTTCCAAGCCCCCCACAACAGCGTGGGCAGGGCCTGCTCCCCACGCTGCCCCTCATGGCCCCACAAGGGCTCGGGCTTCGGGTGCCTGGTCACACCCTCTTCCACAAGGAATCAAACTCCGCCCTGAGGAGCTAAAGAGGCAGCATCCACACAGGCCCCACAAACAGATGCCATTTCAGAGGCACAAACAGGAATAAACAGCTGTAGAAGTGGTCTTGCCTCTGCAGAAAACCTCCTTAGCCTCAGGACAGTGGCTACCAGGCAGCTTGTCCAGGTCTGCTGTCCACCCTCCAGGAGCTGTTGCAAACACCAGCTGGGCCCAAAGATCAGAGCCACCCCAGCCATGAGCACGGCTCTGCCAGCAGCTGGCAGGGGGCACACAGAGAGAAGGCAAGAAACAGGGTACGTGTGGAATAATCCTCCTGTGAAACCTTCCCAGCTTCCAGCAGTCTGTGGCTAAGTCACTTCCTGAGCCACAGATCATATTTTTGTTCAACAGCCTTTGATGGATTTTTTTTTCTTTCCATGAATTCATCTAATTTTGAGTCCATGCAACTTTTGGCAAAGATTTCACAATTTAATTATGTTCTGCATGAAGAAGTTCTGCCTTTGTTTATTTAAAACCTGCTGCCTGGTCATTTCTTATGAAGCTGCCTAGGCCTTGTCTTGTGAAAAAAGTAACTTGTAATTTCCCTATGACTTTCTCTGTGCCATTCACTGCACACCTCTGCTATATTCCTGGAGTTTCTTCCATGGCAAAGAATGTTAAAGTGCTTTATTTCTGCCTGGAAACCATTATCTACTGGAGATCACATTAACATCCTCTTCTGAACCTTTTCTAGCACTACAGCTTATTTAGTGGAAAGGAGGCAAGGCAGAGAGCGTGTGCAGAATCTGAGATGCAGGGTGATGGTGTTTTCTTTCATTCTCTGTTCCTTTTCTAATAAAACTCAGCATTTTATTTGCCTTTTCAATTATGGCAGAGCTGACATTTTCACAGGGCATTCAGAGGCTGGAGCAGCTCTGCTCTGTAGACAGGCTGGGAGAGTTGGGGTGTTCAGCCTGGAGAAGAGAAGGCTCCAGGGAGACCTGAGAGCAGCTTCCAGTGCCTGAAGGAGCTTCAGGAAAGCTGGGGAGGACTTGGGACAAGGGCAGGGAGGGATGGGATGAGGGGAAACAGCCTTAAACTAGAGGAGGGTAGACTTAGATTGGAAGACTTAGATTAGAAAGTACTTCACCACCCTCATGGTGGTGAAAAACTGGGAAAAGTTGCCCAGAGGTGGTGGAGGCCCCATTCCTGAAGACATTCAAAGTCAGGCTTGATAGGGCTCTGAGCAACCTGATCTAGTTAGAAAGGTCCTTGAGCTCTGCAGGGGGTGATGCACTAGATGACCTTTACAGGTCCCTTCCAACCCCACATGTTTTATGATTCTGTGAAATTCTGGGCTGTGAGGGTAGGGAGAGCCTGGCCCAGGTTGCCCAGAGAAGCGTGGCTGCCCCATCCCTGGAAGGGTTCAAGGCCAGATTGGATGGGGCTTGGAGCAACCTGGTCTGGTAAGAAGTGTCTCTGCCCATGGCAGGGGAGATGTAAGCAGACAAGCTTTAAGGTCCCTTTAGACTCAAACCATTCTATGATTCTGCGATGCTTCAATTTTCTCCAAATTTGAGTAGCCAGGTCCAAGCCCACTGGTGTGTAAGTGAAATTCATGCTCCTTTTTGCCCTATCACTCTCCAGTTAGCAACTCTGAATTTCAACTCCCATCTTCTTTCCTAGTTGAACAGTAAAACAGATCCTTCTATAGGAGCCCTCACCTGAACTACTACGAACAGACGAGTGACATTAACCACCTCCTTTTCTGGAGGATATGTGACAATGGTAGCAAGGACACCAGCAACAGACCTGGCACCTACCCGTGACATCCCCCCTCAGTGAAACCAGACCACTCCTTCCCTTTGCTCCCTCTCCCCTTCCCTAGTGATCACACCCTGGGAGGGTCTATCACTCCTGCAGGTCCCATGTGAAAACCACCTGGTCCTGCCAGTGTGTGACCAACGTGCTGGACGAGCTCATCGCACAGCTCTGTGGTGAGTTACCCTGCAGCTGGTGCTGAGACATGGTGCAGACACAGAAACCTCCCCTGCTTCACCTCACCAGCCAGCCTGCAACGAATCACTGAGCTTTGTGTTACTCTTCCAGTTTTTACTCTTCCCTCTGAGTCTTTCTTCACCTAAATCACAATTAACAGTGGACCCTTCTCTACCAGTGTTTCTAACCAGAGAGCTTCAAACCAAAGTGCCAAAATACTTGTTGCTTTCAGAACTGCTGTGGCATTCACCTGCCTTCAGGACCCTACATCTGTCCCAGCCCTGCTCTGTCTGCTGAAGGTTCCTTATGCTTTTGGGGTACCTCTGTGTGAGAAGAGACCTCCCGAGCTCTCGGAGAGCACTCCCAGCATTTCAAGTCCCCAGACCCTGCTCTGCAGGAGAGACTCAAAGGCTGGAGCCGTGTGCAGGAGCCTCTGCCAGGCCCTGAGAGATGCCTTCACCTAGGCCAAGCCCTGACAGATACATTTGCAAGCAGTGAGTGCCAGCTGGACATACAAGAAAGGGATGGCTGTGACTGTGAAGGGGAAAAGAGTAACGAGCAGAGAAGGCCAGACTGGAGCTGCAGAGTGTCCTGTGTGATGATGGCCACCCCAGTGTGACAGCGACCTGCCCATGTAGTCCTGCTTGCTCTGCCCTGCCTTGCTCAGGCAGGACCTGTGGCAGGGAGATTTCACTACCATGTCCCAGTACTTAAAGGGTGACTCTCAAGAAGATGGAGACTCTGTATTTACAAGGTGTCCCATGGAAAAAACAAGGGGTCACGGGCACAAGTTGCTCCTGGGGAGATTTCCACTGGACACAAGAGGTACATTTTTCACCATGAGGACAGACCAACATTGGAATAGTCTCTCAAGGAAAGTGGTGGATTCCCCCACATTAGACAGTTTTAAGTCTCAGCTTGGTAAGGTGAGGAGTCACCTTTTATAAACCACAGTAATACCTAGAAAAGTTGGACCAGATGATGCCTGAGGTTGCTTCCAACCTGGCATTCTGGGATTCGATGATCTTGTTCCTCCTTATCTCCCACCCTGAAACCCTCCTGGGCACCCTTGTCCACTCTCTTTTCCCCTGACCCCAGACCAGAGGCTATCAGACCTCTGCCTCACCAGGGCTCCTGCTTGCCCCTACCTGCACAGGCAGCTCCTGGCCACTGCCCACGTGGAGGAAGGCAGGAGTGTTGTCATTCTCATCCAACACAGTCACATAGATGGTTCCCGTGGTGCTGCGGGGCGGTGCTCCCCCATCCTGCACGATCACCAGCAGCTGGTAGCTGGACTGCTGCTCCCGGTCCAGGCTGTGCTTGGTGCTAAGCTCCCCTGGGAGGGAGAAGTGGGGACACAGCTTAGCCCAAAAGCCTCTTCAGAGGAAAGCCTGTGCTCAGGTGTGTTGCTGGAGAGCCCAGCATCACAGGGAGCAGAAGATGAACACCCCTGCTGCAGCGCTGGCCTGGCCAGCATCACTTCTGACCTACCTGGGCTTTCACCCTGGCCAGCCCCAGCCAGAGAAGCCAGGAAGCGTCTCACCTGTCTGTGTGTGGATCAGGAAGTTGGGGTCGTGCTGGAGCAGGCGGTAGCTGAGCCGGCTGTTCTGCCCAGCGTCCCGGTCACTGGCCATCACCCTCCCCACGCTGCTGCCAGGAGCCTGGTTCTCAGGGATAGTGAAGAAGTACCGCTCCTCGCTCAGCCGGGGGCTGTTGTCGTTCTCGTCCGTGATGCTGATCCGCACGGTGCTGGTGCCTGTTTTCCGGGCCTCCCCCGCTGCTGCGCCGCCCCCAGCCGAGGCCAGCACTGTCAGCACATACAGGTCCCGTGTCTCGCGGCGCTTTTGCCGTGGACCCAGCCGCTCTCGGGCACGATGCCGAAGCTGGCGGCGTCCCCGTCCGCACGCAGGTGGTAGGTGAGGGGCAGGGGCTCGGCCTCGCGCGCCAGCGCCCGCACCTGCAGGAAGCGGGAGGAGATGGGCGCTCCTTCCTCCACCTCCACACGGTAGGTGAGCGTGTCAAAGATGGGCCCGTCGTCGTGCTCTGCTTGCACATGCACCAGCAGCGAGAAGGTGGAGCTGAGCTGGGGGACACCGCCATCCCGGGCCACAATGGCCAGCCCGTAGGCAGCGCTGGCCTCATACTGCAGGGCCCCGACCAGCCGCACGGCCCCCGAGGAGCGCTCCACGCTGAAGGCACCATCACCTCCTGACACCAGCTCAAAAGTCACCTGCCCATTGGCCCCGCTGTCACGGTCCTCGGCCTGCACAGTGTACACTGTGGTCCCAGGTTCCGTGGCCTCTGGTAGGAGAATGGAGTCAGAGGGGGCTGGGAACGCTGGCGCATTGTCGTTCACATCCAACACGGAGATCTTCACCCGCGTGTTGCTGTAGGCGGGAGGGGAACCACTGCGGGCCTGGATGTCCAGAACCAGCACTGCCTGGGACTCGTGGTCGAGAGCCAGACTGGTGTGGAGCTGCCCGGTTGCAGAGTCAATGGAAAAGTAGCCATAAGGGTCCCCCGAGGAGATGGAATAAAAGATGTCATCAGCATGACCTGGGGACAAGGGAATGAGGGCTGAGGAACAAGTTGTGCTGGCTCAGCCCCAGCCCGTGGGGAGCAGTGGGGCCGGGGGTGGTGCTGCTGTGCCAGGCGCCAGCCCATAGGGGCACAGCAGCTCCCTGCACACATGCATGTGTGCACACACGTGTCAGCAGGCATGGGAGAGCAGGCACTGAGCTGGGTGCGCGCTGGGATGTGTGTCCCCCTGTGTGTGCATAGAGCTCCCTGGAGAGGCTCGCTCAGTGAGGAGAGGGGCACCAGACCCTCCATGGGCACAGGGAGGCTTTTGTGGGTTGTGTGTTGCTGGTGGGGTGTGTGGTTGTGGTTTTGTGTTTGGATTTTTTGTTTGTTTATTTTTCTTTCCCCTGGGTGGATGGTTTGACTCAGTGATCTGAGGGGTCTTTTGCACCCATGACAATCCTGTGATTCTGTGTGACTCTGTGATCCCAGGCGACGCAGGGACAAGGACCATGGCTGTGTGCACTGGGGACAAGCCGTACCTGGGGGGTTCTGGGCCCGGACAGCCCCCACGCTGGCACCCTGCAGCACGTCCTCAGGTACTGTGAAGAAGTACTGAGCTTGCTCAAAGACGGGGGGTGAGACCGTGCCCTCCACGATGCTGATGTTCACCCGGGCGTTGGGCTGTGCCTGGAGGCCCCCACCATCTTGTGCAGAGATCACCAGCTGCACCAGGGTGTTGGCTTTACCACTCAGGGACCATGAGAGGGAGATGACACCTAGGGAAGAAAGCAGTTCCAAGGGTGCTGTGCCTGCACCCTGGCCTGTCATCTGGCATCAAGGCAACACAACAAGTCACAGGCTTGAAAAGAAAGACCAAGGAGCAGCAAACAATGTGCTCACAGCAGGGGAGCTTGCCATGGAAGAACTGGAGTCAAGAAGAGGAACCCTCCAGGGAAAGTCTCCCCATATCCTCTTGTCTCAGACTTAAGCCCAGCCCTGAGCTGAGCAGTGGTACGAGCTGGGGGAATTGAGCCAGAGGGCAGGTCTTGGGGAGGAAAAAGGGGGAATAGGGTTTCTAATGTGGGGTGCAGGGTGAGGGTCATGACACAGCAGGTGGGATCTGGGCTGTGGGGAGGTTCTTGAAGACATGCAGAACTCAAGGACCATCCTTAACAGGCCCTACAAAGGAGGTGGCTTGCACTAGGATGGCTGGTAGGCCTGTCTCATCCCAGTCACATTCTGAGAACTTGGGGACCAGTGTGGAGAGCCCTTGACACCTGTGCTGAGAGCCCCTGGCATCACACACCCATGCACTCACCTCCCCAGCAGAAACTGCTCTGGCTTTGGTGGCCAAAGCAAGGCAGAGCAGATGCAGCCAAGGAGAAAGGTGAGAGTGAGTGCAACAGAGAGTTACAGGGAAGGAGAGTAAACTGAGCTGGGGAGAGGGAACTGGGCAGGGACAAGAAACTAACTAGGATACAGCCAGATGGGGCAAAGCAAGCAGCATGCAGGGGGAAAGGAGCAGTGAGCCAGGGATGGGGAATGAGGGAGGGGGAAAAAGACGGGACAAATGAGGAACAGAGCAGAGAGCAGAAATAAGAGGTCAGAGACTAGTCTGGGAAGGGGCTGCTGGAGGCTCAAGAAGCCAAGGCAGGGAAGATGTGGCAGGGAGAGGAACATATTCTGGTGGCAGACTGCACAGCTGAGGTGCCAAGCAGTGATGCTTAGGGTAGCTTTTACACCGACCCATGTCCCACAGCTCTGATCACTGCCTATTCTGGTGCCCCTGGAGCTCATCTTACCTGTGTCCTTGTTGAGGGAGAAGTGAGTCAGCAGCTTCCCCCCCTCACCCCCAGCACCCACCCCATCCACAGCAGTGATGGTGAAGTCGAAGGCTGATGTGCCCTCGTCGCGGTCCAGGGGCTGCGCCGTGCAGAGCTGCCCGGTCTGCTTGTCGATGCTGAACTGCGTGGGGAAAACGCTGCCGATGCCAGAGCCAATGGAGTAGGACAGGGAGCCAAATGTGCCACTGTCTGCATCTGTGGCTGTCACCTGGACGAGGGAAGGCACTTTGTGAGCAGAGCCAGCACCACAGAGACCCCCAGCCCACCATCCCCCCTAACCCAGCACTGCCTGTGGTCCCCAGTCCCTGCACAGTCCTCAGCGCTGGCCACAGTGAAGCGGAGTGACAGTTACCACCTCAGCCCCACAATTCTTGTCCCAGACAAGCCACTGCTTCCTCTGCAGGCCCCCTGCAAGAGGAGAGGGTCTCCTAGGGGCTTGCTGGCTGCAGACAGTGCCCTGAGCAGCGCTCCAGGCAGTTGTGGGGCACCCCAGGATCAGCCTGTGCTGGCCCGGTCCCCATGAGGGGACATGGAGGTGGGTGGCAGCAGCACTGCACACCTGAGAGCTGCATTGTGCTTCTATCTACGTGCTGCCACGGGTCCCTGCACCACCAGAGGTGCTCTGTTTCAAGGGGCACTCCCTTCTTGTATCTCCGGGGCAACATCCCTGACCCAGGTCAACTGATTCACCTTGGCAAAGGGAAGGGCCGTAGGAAGAGGGGGTAGAGAAAAGCTGAGCCTTGTTCAGATGGCGAGGATCCAGCAGCCAAGCATCTCCCTTGCACCCAGCTTGATGGGCCAGCCAGGCACTGGCAGCAGCTGCCCCTGGGACCCTGCTCCTTCTTTTCTGCAAAGACGCTTAGAACAAGATGGGAAGAAAAGCAGCCATGACCCTCGCTCTGCCCTCAGAGCTGTGTGCCCAGCAGCCCTGGGCTCTGAGGATGACTGAGGGTGCATTGCCCTTTGACAGCCAGGGCTCACCAGAGCCTGGGACTCATGAACTGTGGTTATAGACATGGCAGGAGGATTAAAGCCGCTCCCTGCATGCCAGGCCTGGGTCCCTCCTTGGGCTCCTTGCAGCGCTCAGGCCAGAGAAGGCAGCTCCTTCCCCCTGACCCCAGCACTGCTGCCCAGGGCTGATCCACCAGCTGGGAGCTCCGAGCAGAGAACAAAGCTGGAGCAGGGAGCCAGGAAGGAGGCAGCTGGGCCAGGCCCGGGTGAAGTGGAGTTCAGGCCTCGTCAGCCACAGCTCCTCCCCACAGCAGCGCTGGGGCCTCGGCTCCCGTCAGCCAGGAGCGCAGGAACGTGGCGCCCGCGCCAAGGAAAGGCCCAGCCGGGGGCTGCGAGCTGCTCCTGCATCAGGGCAGGGCCCCAGACCCAAACCGAGCACCAGGGACAGCGAGAGAGCAGAGAGGCTGGGCAGGGGGGAAAGAGATCAGGGATAAGGGGCACATCCAGCCGCTGTGCTCAGCATCCCAGAAAGGGCAGTACCTGAGATTCCCCCTCACCAGCCCCGCTGCCCCTCGCCAGCCCCGCTGCCCCTCGTCAGCACCCCTGCCCCTTGCCAGCTCTGCTGCCACAGGATCAACATCCGCAGGGAGGACAGACAGCACCTGAGAACCTCTCTCCGGCTCTGCTGCCCCACCACCTAAGGTCTAAGGGGATGCCTGAGAGGAGAAGCTGAGAGCACATCCACCCTGAGCACCATGCTCCCTGTGGAGCACTTGCTGCTCACCCTGCCACAGCTGCCAGCAGTGCCAAGAAACAGGCTCCCCTGCCAGCTCCAGCCACAGGGCACCCAGACCACAGGTGCCAGAAGAGCAGCCAGCCAGGAACCACTTTGGGAAACTGGACCCACCTGCCTCCCTGCTGAGCTCCACACCCTCTGTCCCTCCTGCCCTACCTCTCAGCTGAGGAGCTGCTCATCTGAGAGTATAAACCTGACCCCACTGAACTGCTGAAACCTGCACTCCGTTCCCTGTGCTCCGCTGGATTTTGTCACTGGGGTAACTACCCTGCAGCAGCACACAGGGGTTGTGTGCCATGCCTGGGTTTTACCTGGGGCCATTATCCACCACTGCAGGTGGTAACACACCTGAAACTGATAAGCTGCCATAGTAGCTGGAATGGGCACCATATGGCAAATTAGTAACTTCTTTCATCCAAATGAACTGCTTTGCACTCTGGAAGTGCTCTAAAATGCATGTCAGCATGAACAGTACAGCAACAACCTCTGCAGCAGAGTAAGGTATTTTCCTCAGGCTCCTTGGGCCAAGGGCTCTGGTGCTTCACTTCCCCACCTTAACCATCCCCTGAGTCACCGTCCTAAGAAAGATACCCAGAGGGTAGCTATCTGCAAATCCAGCTTTCTGCCACAGGAGCTGGCTTAGATGTTGGGAACAGGGGAGAACAGCCGAGCTCTCACAGTTACTCAGTACAGCCCCACCTCTTTGACTGCTCCCTGGCTCCCAGAGCCATCTCCCTGCCTCATGGAGCTGTCAGAATGGCATCAGAGGCATACCTTCCACAGAGCCAAGGCAAGGTGTCCTCAGAAAAGTTCCCTGTTGCCATGTGCCCAGCACCTCACCTCCCCATCCTGCTGTGGACCCATGGTCAAACATGAACCCTGTTGGTACAAGCAGGTCCAAGATGGGTCATGTCACCCTACACCAGCACTGGTGCAACCACTGCTGGAGACCAGTGCCTGGTCTGAGCCTCACTTGGAGCGATGGGGTCTGAAGAAAAGCCACAACAAATCAGCTGGAGGAGCAGCTATCTGTGTCATCTCCATGTGAGGCAGTTTGCTTAGTGTCTCCCCCCGTGGAGAGGGGGGGCTGTAGCTGGTCACCCCCAGCCCAGCTCTTCTGCCCCGGTGCTGATCCCTGTGTGTGTGGGATGGGCTGACTGCAAGCAGACACTGCAGTGCTCCACACCAGCCCCGAGGGCAGCAGATCCTCCCTGCGGCCAGGGTGACACCTCCTGAGGACCTCCCTGAAGGGCAGCAGAGGTTCTGAGCAGCCCCCAGGAAGGGCAGACCCCTCTGCCAGGCAGGCCTGGCAGGGACCCATGACTGCAGGCTGCAGGGCACGCGCCGTCTGGGACATGGTGCACATTTTTAGCTGGGAGGATAATTAACCACCAAAACTGCTCGTCAAGGCCTGTGGTGAATTCACCACTCCTGGAAACTCTTAAACTGATTCCGGGTATTTTTCTAGAAACTCTGCTAGAAGCTAATGCAGGGCAGACCCAGGGTCTGTATTTAGTGCCCATCCCAAATCTTGGATCAACAGATGGTTTTATTGTAGCTTACTTATCATAGCATCATAGGATGGTTTGAGTTGGAAGGGACCTGAAAGATCATCTAGTCCTAAACTCCAGCCATGGGCAGGACCCCCTCCCAGCAGCCCAGCCTCCTCCAAGCCCCATCCAACCTGCCCTTCAACACCCCCAGGGATGGGGCAGCCACAGCTTCCCTGGGCAACCTGGGCCAGGCTCTCCCCACCCTCACAGCCCAGAATTTCTCCCTCCCATCTCAGCTCCAGCTCCCTCTGCCAGCTAGAAACCCTTCCCCCTGCTCCCATCCCTCCCTGCTCTTGTCCCAAGCCCCTCCCCAGCTTTCCTGGAGCCCCTTCAGGCACTGGAAGCTGCTCTCAGGTCTCCCTGGAGCCTTCTCTTCTCCAGGCTGAACACCCCAACTCTCCCAGCCTGGCTCCAGAGCAGAGCTGCTCCAGCCCTCCCAGCATCTCCGGGGCCTCCTCTGGACTCTCTCCATGAGCTCCATGTCCTTCTTATGTTGGGGGCTCGAGAATTAGACACAGTTCTCCAGGTGGGGTCTCATGAGAGCTGAATAAGGGGGGACAATTGCCCCCCTGGACCTGCTGGTCGTGCTGCTGGTGACACAGCCCCAGGACACAGTTGGTTTCCGGGCTCCAGCACACAGTGCCAGCTCATGTTGAGCTTCTCATCCACCATCACCCCCAAGTCCTTCTCCTCAGGGCTGTTTTTGATCTTCTCCCCCCAGCCTGTACTTGTGGTTGGGATTGCCCCAACCCAGGTGCAGGACCTTGCACTTGGCCTGGTTGAACTTCATGTGGTTGCACAGTTCCACCTCTCCAGCCTGTACAGGTCCCTCTGGATGGATTCCTCTCCTCCAGCATGTCACCTCATCACACAGCTTGGTGTCACCAGCAGAGTTGCTGATCCCACTGTCTGTGTCACCAACAAAGATGTTAAATAGCACTGGTCCCAGCACCAGGACCCTTGGGGAACACCTCTGGTCCCAGGTCTCCATCTGGACATCAAGGCATTGATCACCACTCTTTGACTGGGACCATCCATCCAGTTTCTCACCGAATGAGTGGACCATCCATTGAATCCATATTGTTCTAGTTTCCATACCAGGATGCCAGTGTAAAAATATGAGGCTCCTGATCTTTGCCTGAGAAATAAGGGTGAAATGGGGTCAAGCTGCCTATGGGGCAGCCCAGGACACTCTCCATTTGGGGCTGTGCAAGGCAGGAGTCAGAGCTCTGGGTCTGAGTGGAGCCCCTGCTGCACCCTCACCTCTGACTGCAAACACCCCGCAGGGCCAGGACTGGCTGTTCCCAGGAGGAGCCACGTGAGAGGAGGAAGGACAGAAAGAGCTTGGAACAAGACACCTGCAGGAGCTTGCAGGGCCAGCGTGCAGACATGAGACAGAGCTGTGGGGCCACCTCATGTGCACAGGACACCTGCACAAGCACAGAATCTCCATGGAGACACCAGGCAGGACGTGCAGGGGTGAAGCACATGCTGTGCTGCCCAGGACAGCGGGGGGTGCAGCTGCAGCCCCCATGATACGAACAGAAGTGTGTACACAGCACAAGTGCAGGGGGACTGCCCACCTGGGGGGCATGTTCTGTGCCCTGCTGCTGGGCAGCAGTGATGCCACAGCCCAGACCACTCTCCCCATGCTGAGGCTCCACAGGGAGGCAGGGAACTTGGTGACCCTGGAGTTCTGACATCAAGAGTCCAGATGTTCCCATTCACAGACCCAGCCAGAGCAGCAGGAGAAGGAAGCCATGGCCAGTGGTTTCCATGGGTCATTATGTTCTCTGGACTTGTAATCACTGCTGCTACCCCCGAGTCTGACTCTGCTCTGTTCTTAGAAACCTTCTTGGTGTTGGTGGGTGGACCAGGCAACCCAGCCCCTTCCTGGATAAACCAGCT